ATTAGCAACAGATTGCAGCCTGTAACAAGATTGTAGCTGGGACAAAGTTTGTAAATTGAATTATTATAAGGTTCAGGGATCAGAAAGGCTTATTTACCATTTCAAGTGTTCGTGTGGTCTGGATTTAAGACAAGCATATATTTCTAAATATGGCGGCATTCCGAACTTGTGGGGTTGGAACAAAATACGCAAGATTTATTAGGCTTTTCAAGATTATGGGAAATGACAACATGGCGGACGTGCGATAAAAAACTGACTCAGTTGTAATTTTATGTGTAGTATTTGTACAGTGAAATTTCCAAATGCTAGTGTCAGAACTTATGGTCTACCCGTCGGAGCTCTAAAATGCACCGCGCCAGCGCTCAGTATTTGTTTTAGCTTCCCGTAATGCGTATTGGCTCACCCCTGCGAACGTCATATTTTCTTATAAATAAAAAACCTGTGACGGATGAGGAGTTGCTATGGAAATGATACGAAGGCCAGCCTAATATTGATTCGGTATGGTGTTGAGGTTACCCAGCTGGTGCTGGCACCTCGCGTCGCAACCAGTAAGTACGTTGGTTATTTAGTAGGTGTGACGGGGTCTGCTTTGTTCGGTTGCCTGGCAGGTCTGAGGAACACCACGAATAAAGCAGGTGGTGAGGTATATTGATTTTGTGTGTAACGAATTTTTTATGCTTCGTGTTGTGTGTGCCGTCACATGTAACTGCGACCAGACAGTGCTGTGGCTATTATCAAAACATGAATGTTGGTAGCAGTGCGCGCCGAACATCTGGTTCGTTGGTTGGTAGACCAGCTTCGTATGCTGGAGGCCCTCGTGTTCGAATCCCTGACTGCGAGTTTTCGTGATATCCGCCATTGCCGTGAATAAATACAAGGAACAGACGTAAAATAGGCCTCATTTGTTTCATTCCATCGTTTGTAATCACCCCGCCAGCCGATGTCATGTAGCTTATGCAATTGATAAGACGTCATAAATTAAAGCAGTGAGGTCACCAAATTTATACTGTTCGACATTGGGACACCACCAGCGGTATTTCTAGCAATGTGTTCGAAGTCTGGGGTTCCATCACTTTGGCCTTATTTCCTAAAGGGCTTAACAGAGTAGTTTGTCCCCTTGCCCCCAATAAATTGTGAGGAATAAGGTCTACTGCAGGATGATTGTAAATGCTGAATTGGGACAGATGCAGATGTGGCATTATCTCAGCATTTGCTAGTTGCTACTGCAGAATCTCATAAAACAACACTTGGTTTCTGTGCTGAGGTTTAGACACGACCTCCTGAATGTGAAGAATGATAACCATTAGATATGAAGTGGTGGCTGGATCATGCTCATCTACCTGACAGGTTGTTATCATACTGGTGAACCAACAAGTGAAGGAAGTATAGTATAAGAGGCAGGTGCACAGTTTACACCTTTACTAAAAAGAAAATAGAAAACTGATTTTACTTAAGTTTAACAGTGCTGATAATGTGTTAAAGGAAAAGATACACCTATTCTCTATTGAGCTTATCTTTATCACATTGTGACTGTGATGAGGGAGGCAAGGAAGTGACAGAATTTCGTCAGAATACTTCTAGGAAAGCAGCCATTTGGAAGGCCAAGAAAGAGATGGAAGGGTATCATTAAAATATGTTAATTGTGAGGCCTTGGTATTGGGTGGATTGTCCAGAAGTGTGCCCAGTGGTGGGTTTTGGTATTGGTAGTGTTAGACCTTAATGTTTTATTACCAGAGTTAGGCCAAATCACTCTATGTATGTCTGTTCAGTGCTTTGTTGACTATTTCAGACGGGATGCCGCTCTGGACGACCTAGCTGTGAAGCCGATCACCCAGTTCCCTGTTACACTAGATGATGAGGTAAGAATCCATATACTGGTAGTTGATTGGTTCTTACATTATTTAATGACACTGTTTTGCCCTTAGAGTTATATAATGTTGATGTTGAAAATTATGAATGGTGATTAGGTTAGGATGTGGAAGGAGGTAGTATTGACATGTTCTGAGATACTGTCCCAGAATTTTTCCGGAAAAATTAGGAAAACCATTTAAAATCTCAGGCCAAGATTTATATAGGATGATTCTTATTACAAGACTATGTTGTCGTCCTAGCACCAGTCTGTTTAGAATTCTGGAATGAGTATCAAGGTGTGAAAATCCTTTAAAAATGCATACAGGAAATAAGAAACTGGAATGAACATCTAGCACATGTAAAGAAAGTGAGACATGCATACATACTGTTGATATATAAACCTTGCAAAAGAATTGTTAATACATTTGCAAATGCTGGGCATTGTTTTCAGGAAATTTATAGATACTTGTCTCGCCATGGTCCATTGTTTAGTGGTGTTGATACTGCCTTGAATCCGGACCTATTACATTAAGAAATGAAATACTGGTACACTTTTTGTGCGCTACATGCTGAGGGCAGTGTTGTATGAGTATTTCAATAACTTTTGTCTGGAACCATCCACTACTGCTTCCTCATTGTATTCTGAGAGATTAGTGTTAGTGGTGGTGTCTGTTGTATTGGCAGTGTTAATAGGGTACAGATACAGGGGTACAGGTACATAACAGAATTAAAAATAATGAAGAGTAAATATTTGAAACAACTGAAATGGAGGGAATTACCTTCAATATCTAATGAAAGAGGATAAAGTGGGTTTACTGGTGAGAATGACTGTTGTTGCAGGCACCTGAGGAACGGTACAGCAGCTTCAAAGGTCTACGCACTATCACTATCAAGAAGGTAAGATACTGCCACCCTGAACACAGGATACTGTGTTGTTGGGACGGAAGTGTGCAAGATAAGGCCAGCCTGACACAATTCCAGGGCCAGTTTGCTAGGAAGGAGTGCATTGTATACTTTTAGGCAGATATTCAAGACAAGGTAACATTAGGAACTGCTCAGTTGAGGGAAACAAGAAATGCATACAGAACGTTTTGGGGAATCTTGTTGAAAATTAAAATTGATCTTAGAGTAATAGGTTATGAGAATGTAAGTTTGACTGAGCTCTCTCACTGTGATTATGGCTTTGAACATTTAAATTGATTTTCCACAGAGTCAGTCAGTCATTATAGGAAATAAATGTTTTCCAGATTCCATAATGTGTTTACTGCATGAAGATCTATATGCATTTCTGGATGTGTTTCAGGCATACGTATTTTGCTGCATACTTACCACAGAAAAAACGTTTTGAACAAACCTACAGAAATTGAAACACATTTTGTGCCTAGTTTGCTTTATGTGTATATATATATTATGATTTTTGTGACAGGTAATACATCATAACCACAGGTCGCATAAGATAGTAACTCCATACCAAACAGCAGAAACTACATAATAATTTGACATGAATATTATAATACAACTGAGTTTAAAAAGTGTTTATGTCAAGTATTTTATTGGTTTTACTGTTTTTTGGGATTGGCAGTGTTACTATATTTTTTCTTTGCGTGCATTGACTTACATGCATTTAAATTTGTGTATGAATCTGATGATGATTCAAAATAGGTACATCATAATGATGATACCAGTAATCAGTTTTTAAAGGTATAGTAGTGTAATAAAGTGATATGAATTATGAATTTGTTGTGCGGTAGTGGCGGTACTTTGAAGAAGTAAATAAAAGGCTTTTTTTTTTGCCATGTCACCTGAACAGGATGACTGTTAGACTTATTTAGACACAGTCTAATATTGGAGGTTCTTACTTGTCCATCATACCTATTTTATGACCTTATAAGAGATAATCAGACGTTAGTGGCAACAAATTTAAAATTAGCGGAAGTAACAGAGAGAACGCACCAGAATTCTTACACGCCTCATACATTTCCTAATTTCATTAGTCTTTTTATTGTTTCCCTTTTTTTCTTTCCTGCTTCTTTATATTTCTTTGGTCATACCCTATAGATTTAACCAGGATACATTCCTTGAAAGGGAGCTCCAATCTTGAAGAGTCAAATCTTGGGGATCCATTTTCTGTTGGGTTTAAATATTATAATGGAGGATGCATTCCCAGCGAACTATAAAAATATTAACTAGCTTCCATCTTGTGTTGAATAATCAAAAGAAAACTTAATCAGGATGTTAATATATCATTGTTTAATAATAATACATTTTAAAAACATTTAAAATTAATAAACACAGATCTTATAAATTTATATTTTGCTGCACAGTACTCAGCTAAGATCTTGGCATACTGGACATGAATTATCATTTTCAGGGAAGTAGGCTTTAGTAGTTAAATGAAGAGGAGACATCAAGTGGGCATGGTAAAATTTTGGGTGTCAGCTGTACAGGTATTATCTGTATAAAGTTCTTAGATTCTTTTCATTTTATTGAACAACAGTTTGTAACCATACAGTATCTGTGTAGTTTTGCACGATACACATGTGTCACAAACTAAAGACACAAAATGAAATGATGAAATGACTTGAAAGTCGCTTAACTGACACATGAACATTGCTTCATTATAAAATAGTATGTTCTGCCAATCTCTAGATCAATTTTTTACTACCAGTATATAATCTGGGCAGCTTCAAGCCACGTTTGTTATGAGCACTAGGGAGTAGAAGTGGACAGTAAAAGTTCAGATTGTAATAAGAGACATATAAAATGCATGTACCATGGGCATGGTAATGTTAGCAAATGTATAAAGTTTTATTTGAGGCTAACTGCATATTTAGGTTTTTAAATTAATAGTGTGAGCTTATGTGTTTTAACGTACCAGCTGGTAAAAGAAAATTATCAATAGGTCAGTAATCAGCGTGGTGGTAGAGGCAGCACTCCTCATTACCGTACTGTCTGTCCCATTTAGACAAAGATATGCCTTTAACACTTTATGGCTTTAGTCATTATCACCATGCTTAGTGTCCACCAGATGGCAAGCAGGTACTCCTGCTTCATTAACCCAAGTTCTTCATTCATTTGCTCCATCATCATTTCAGCCTGGAGAATGTCAGGCATTCGAGGATGGTAAGAGGCAGGCTGTAGGAACCATGGTTAATAAATGTTTTTTATAATTGTGGCTTCCTGGACATTAAGAATATGTAGGCAAAACATTTATATACTACTGTTATTTATATCATCAAGTTATGTTGGAGAAACGTTGAGAAATAAATTATATCCTGAGTTGCACTGTTGTACCTTCAGAGTCTGTGTTTTGGGTTTTTGCATTGGAAGTCTACGTCTTTGAGCTGCTTGACTTACTATTTTAAATTATTTGTGACAATTCCTGTGATTTCCTTGCATGTCAGGTAGCGTAGATGTACATTTATTGTTTCTGTCTCCCGCAGCCATGTTGCCTGGAGGCTGGTCCGAGCCCTACCCAGCAGGTAGGCCACGTCCACAGGCATCATCATTCGGTGCATGACTTATGCATGAAAACAGGAGACAGACTGTACATACACAGAGTGTATGCTTGTCAGTGCATGCTGCTTTGTGTTGCAGGATGTCGGTGTGCTGTGTGACGACACTGTGTGTTTCTCATTGGTTTCAGGGAGCTCAGGGTCTGGGTATCATGATAATTGAAGGCAAACATGCCGAGGTCGGGCAAGGTATCTTTATCTCGGACATCCAGGAAAGCAGTGCTGCAGAACAGGTATCCTGTGTGTAGCATGGCTTCACTGCATGGCTTCTTCGCTTCCTGAACCTGTCATGTTACAGAACAGAGTGGAGGAAGATGGCAAAGGAGTCACCAATTGCAATTTTGTATCCCTCATTGGTCCTTACATTTATTTACTGCAGGTCAGAGCTAACCAACAGTGCAAATACAGCAACACATTGAAAAGTGTTTAAGATAAAAGTTATGCATCTTAATGAGATATATATTTTATACGAGGTACTAGTTTCTTGTACTCCAAGCCTTTTTAGAATTAATTAATGAACTTAAAATTGAGTTTAATTTGAAATAACAAGTGACTAATACAGGAAGAAAAAATGAAACATAAATAGTTTGGCAGATACTCTTCACACTTAGCAGTTGATAAATTGATAATTAGTGTGGCACAGCAGTGCAGTGACTCCAGATATTTGTGTCAGTAGATTATAATCTCATTGATCTGAATTTAAAGACACTAGGCTTTCTACTAAAATTCATTTGTAACTTAGGAACTCCTGTACTTCAGTTCATAAAAGTTCTAAATATTTTAAAGGTGCTTCATTATTTCCTTCCACTAAGAACCTGGTCCCACTTAGTTATTTCACTAAGATAGAACATCTCAGGCAGAATGTGCTGTGACCTTTATTATATCAACACAAACAAGGAAGTTCCTGCTTTCATAATAAAATAGTAACATCAAATGTAGTATAGTAACAAGTTGTTTCTATGCATTTTTTAATATGTTAAATTCTGCTTCCGTGGAACACTGTTGTATTACTTGTAGTAGTTTGTGAAACTGTGTGGACAGTTCAGGTTGCCTGCTATATAATTATGCTTGCTACTATATATGTTACAGAAGATAGAGGGTCTGAATTTTGAAATTATAATATCCAGTAGTATTTTTGTTAGTTTTTGTTTGTGTCATGGCATGTATACATAAAGCTGTGATGTAAGAGCTTTTGTTCAGAATTGAATGCAAAGTAACTTTTGTTTCATGCTTTTGTAGCAGTTGTAATTTGGATATTTTTATTCTATTTTATGTTTTCAGGCACATCACATATGGAATTTTTATTATGTGCATAACATTCCACCATGTGTGGACATGGATTTATCAAGCACAAGTTTTGTTAGTTTGTTGCTATGGCTGTTAGGTATACTTACATTGTTCTGATGTCATATTCAGTTAATTTCTTAATAACTCCATTTATTTTGTTGTTTGTTGGTTGGGTTAGAGCATGTTAAATGTTGTTTATTTTTTCCTGCCCAGCCCACCCTGTAGCCCCCATCCCATGCCTTCTGGCCCCAAAGTGCCATGATTTAACTGACCCATAGAGGACATGTGGAAAAAGGGGTGGGTTGGGGCATGTGGGCTGGGTGTGTATAGGTAATCAAAAATCTTAACCTAACTTTCTGTACAGTTAAGTGAGTGATGTATTATATAGTATATACCATTTCACAGAACACAAAAGAAAATTTGTCATTCTGATATTACCTAAACACGTCAGAGAAATAATATGCATGTAGGCATATTTGTGCCTGATATGAAAAATATGTTTGATGTGCTCAGAAACATAAAAAATAAAATGTTTTTTAAATATGTAGTGTAGCAACTTGGTGATGTTATGAAGAAGGAGCTACACAGTGCTGTTTCTCCTTGTGAAGCTATCATGATTGTTGTCATTAATAAAATCTTATCAGGCTATCAGCCATATCAAATAGTTAGAATTTACCTACATTTTGAGGACCATATCTGTCCTCATCCTAAGCGCTATTCATATGACTATCCCTGAGTATGTTATTTGACACAGCTGATAGCCCAAGAAGAGTTTATTAATGTAGTGTAAGTGGTGTTATTGTTAGAGGAAAGGACAACTAATTAATGTTGCATGAATATTTGGGTGATGTGGATGAAGTACAGATTTTTAGGTTGTATGATCCAACATTTGAAGATGAGTGGAGTAGGAAGAATGAATTAATGATCTTGTGCGCATTTGTTCTCTCTTGTTCTTCAGTTGGTCTCTATATGTGTGCTTGTTTTGCAGGCTGGCCTCATTGTAGGGGACATGATTCTGGCTGTGAACAAGGACACACTCCTGGGATCAGACTATGACTCGGTAAGCCACTGTAGTCTTGCATTCATTCAACATGACTGAGACAGCAAAGAGAAGACAGTCACTAGTTGTGTGCTTGCAGGCTGCCACTCTGCTGAAGAAAACAGAGGGTGTAGTCACACTGGTAGTGTGCAATCCAAACAAAGCAAAGGAAGAAGAGAAGAAGGCTGTTGAAACAGATGTCCGTAGTCCCACACCCACACCACAACTCAGTGCAGTAATAGTTTCTCCCACACCCAAGGAACTAGAGAAACCAAGTAAGTCCCATTCATTGTGGATTTGTCTTGTTGTTGATCTGACTAATAGTTTTAAGCACTTATATTGAATTTCCAGTGCATAAGATAACATGTGTTGAGATGGAAGCAATATGTTTATGTTCAGACTGCACCCAGAAAGGCAAAACAATGTGTAAAGACATTCCTCAGTGTGAGTGTTACTCCCCTCATTGTCATTGCTTTGTCTTTCTAAGTGCTTGACCCTAAATTAGCTGCAGTACTACTTAAATATTTTTATATTTGGAGAACCTGCATTAACATATTATTTCCAATCCATTTACAATTCAGAGAAACATCTACATTTATATGAAACTATGCTAGTTCTGTGGAGAGATTTCACTGACAATTACCTATTATAAATTTTGTGACATGATTGGTCTGTAACACTAAACCATTTTTAAAATTTCTGCTCATTCATGCTATTTGCGCTGAATCACCTGTCATGTTACAGCATCACAAGAAGTCTGAAAATAAAGGCAAACTTAGATATTGTCTTTACACATTGATTTGCTTCCTCACTCCATGCCACATCATCAGTGCAAGAAAATACAAAACACATTCCACATGTGTATGTTCATAAATTTTTCTGTGGAACCTTACGCAAGTTCCTGTGGACCCCTGCACCCAGACATCATTACACGTGTTGTGTTAGTGAATGCACATGTGTTTCAGTGTGTTTTGAGTTTTCTGCCAAGCCTTGTCTTATTCCATGGAAGACTAGTTTAATTTTGCCATGTTTATTTCTGGCTGCCTACTACTAATTTAGCATGCTGCAACAATATTTAACCAAATATTTGTTTGTTTTCTTTGTGAGTTGTTTGTCTTGATGTCACTGATATTATGGTATTGCTTTCTGCACTGATTTGTCAGCTTGTGAACATTGGTATTAACTGCGTGTTTATTTCTATCTCGCTTTGCCGTGGCGGTGTGCTGGGGGATTGGCATTATGCATGGCCATGTGAGTATACAATGCTTTGCTGAAACTTCTGCCAGCACAGCCATAGCAGTTTGTTTCTGAAATATGAGAATGGAAACAGCACTAAGTTTAAGTTTTCCTGGCATAAAAGTCCAGGTGTGTTTTATGCAGTTTCAGGACACAATTAATAGATAAGTGTCTTGACTGGGCTCTAGCTGTGTTGGTATTTTATTGATACCCTAAACAGAATACTTAAGTTTGTGTATTGTAAATATTTTCTACATAAATGTACAGATAAACTGATAATTAAGCACTTTTTTCTGTGTTCTTGCCAAGTGAAGTATATTGTGCCTTGTGTCAGCAGTTTCCATGAAGTGACCAATCGTTTCTTTCAGGATTGCTTCCAAAACCACAACTGTCATCATTGAAAACACAAATATCTCCACCAAAATCCATCCAAACAATGTCACCAAACTCTGGCCTTCAAACGACCGAAACCCTGGTGGCACACACAAAATCTCCCACTACAATTCCTGGTTCATGCCTGGTTCATCTACCCTCCCTTGCATTGACACCTGTCTCGCCAAATGCCTCTCCTTCCTCGACATTGCGATTGTCTCCCTCTTCTTCAGCCAAACACCAATCCATAACTCCAGAAGACCTGCCCTCTGACCCAACAAAGTGTGAGATTATGCCTGGCAAGGAAACAACTGTGGAGATCAACAAGGACAAGATGGGTCTCGGACTCAGCATAGTGGGCGGGTCAGACACACTGCTGGTATGTATAGGTCATGAGACTGCCACCTTGCCCATATTTGCCTAGCCACACCTTCTATTGCCATTGTGTGTGTTGCAGGGTGTGATAATAATACACGAGGTGTACCCAGATGGTGCTGCAGCCAAGGATGGCCGCCTCAGACCAGGGGACCAGATCCTGGAGGTCAACAATGAGGACTTTCGGAGCATCACACATAACAAAGCACTGGCAGCACTGCGACAAACTCCTGCTAAGGTAGGTTTGGCAACATTGAGGTCTCCATTCTCATGCCATGCAGTAGCATAGTATAAACGTACACTGTATTTGTGCAGGTGAAGATGGTGGTGTTCCGAGATGAAGCCTCTGTGAAGGAGGAGGATATCTTCAATGTGATGGAGGTTGAGCTCACCAAGAAACCTGGAAAGGGGCTGGGCCTCAGTATAGTGGGTCGCAAAAATGGGAATGGTGTTTTCATTTCTGATGTGGTAAGTTTCTCTCAGAAGAGGTAGATTACAGCACTAGTTAAGAGTCACGTTGTCAAGTATGAGGTGTACTGTTGCAGGTACATGGTGGCACTGCAGAGGCAGATGGGCGCCTCATGAAAGGTGACCAGATATTGGCTGTGAATGGTCAAGACTTGAAGAGTGCCACACAGGAGGAGGCAGCTGCCATTCTCAAGACTGCAATGGGCAAAGTGACTATGAGGCTGGGGCGCCTCAAGGCCAGCTCGAAACGGAGCTCAAACATTGACAGGTGTGTAGCATAACTATTGTTACATTTATCCTCATATTATAGAGGTTCCACAGTACCATGCAGTATAATGGAGTCAGATGGAACTAGATTATTAAATACAGGTCATGAAGTAGTTGCGTTTGTCTAAGCATTGGTACAGCATATTAATGTATTTTTTATTGTTATTCTAGTCTACTAAGAAACATGTAAATAGTATCATTCCGTTTTGACATTATACATAATAGAAGTCAAAAGCTGAAGATTACTCAGGGTCCCCCCCCCCTTTTATAGTAATAATAACAGGAAAGAGGAAACTACCTTAAACAGTAATATTCCTACTTGCTCTGAATATGAAGTGGAGTTGCATCCATTTTCCTTCCTGGTGTGTTCTCACTTAATGCTTCCTTACCTTTGTTTATTTTTATTTGTTGTGAAAACTTATTGTAGTTATAGTGTTTAAACATTGTGTGGCAGTAGGATTGTTCAACGCATGTTCAACTGTTTTAAAATTATATTTTTCTTATGCTTCTTTATGAACTTCATGATTAAGTTATTTTTAAATTAACAGGTAGCCAGCCTGTCATACTATCCCCCAGTCTGGGCTCCTTTCCTCTTAGAGAGTCTGCATCAGTGTGGCTGTATTCAATGTGTTAATTGGTTAGGAGTAAACACAGTGTGTGCAGAGTTGTGTAGTTGGCGTTAGGTTGCAAGGTTCCTTTCTGTTATCACCAGTTTGCTGTGAGCAAGTTTAGGACTATGTTCTGTTACTGTAGTTCCTTAGATGATGATATGTGTACCTGTCACCGCACAGTATACATTCACAGGCTGGCCCAGGTTCGTAGTAGCCCGTTCGTGCAGATCCTTTGGTGAAAACCATGTATAACAAATTGTGTGTGGATGTGTCAGAATTTGAAATTTTGTCTTTTTCAGTCATCCCATTAACACAATGTCAGTCAGTGTGTTTATAATGGCATTAAATGGTGCATTATTTAGTACAGAACAAAATTTCTATATGCTTAATGTTATTTTGAGTTTGTTAGAATGCGAAGTTACAGTGTTGGCAAGTCATGATGTAGGTGATCACCTTCTTCTGTCTTCATGTTGTCATCTCCAGACTATTCCTTTTTTCTCTATTTATCCTTGCACATTATTTTTCACTTTCATTATGTTGTCTCAACTTTCTGTTCCCATTGAAGCTTCTCCTGGAATTCTGGTTTAATTGTTAATGCATGGTTCTCTGATTAGTTTCATGTGAAATATGTGTACACCTTGTGTACTAACAAGGAACTTTAAAGACCCATTCCATAATTCTGATTCAGTGGTCTTTGCCTTGTACATACGTACATATTGTTACATTCCATGGATCCATAAATTAGTCAGATGACAATAGGATGTGGAATAAGTCATAATAATAAAATACATATTATACACTAATATACACTATTATAAATATCACATATTATAAACAAAGGGTTCACATAATTAGTGATATGTTACAAATACATCTACTCATTACAGAAGTTAAAAAAAGCATTACATAAATTATACTACCCATTTACATTAAATGAAGACAAGAAAATTCTTATTAACATTATGACTTATTTGTGAACGTCAGAAATTCATCAGCAGAGTAAAAGGAGTGTGTAATTAAGTATGTTTAGAAGTCTTGTGACACATGGTGCTAAACTGTTGAAAATTTTGATGACTGCATAATATGCTTTCCTCAAACAACATGAGAGGTTGGTAATGGGTCTGTGAAACTGATTCATATTCCTTGTGTTGATTGTGTACAGAAGAATTAGTGTATTCTTACATTAACATAAATTACAAGTCTGAAAATAATGCAGTGTTGACAAAATATTTGGACCAGAGGAGGATAAGTTTAGGATAGAAGACAGCCATCTCTAAGCTCACCGCTGTGGAAACCTCAAATTCTACAAATTTAGGAAAATTATGTAATGATGAACTTATTAATTCATTCAGTAGTCAAATCTAGGATTGATTTAAGTGTATGGCCTTAGTATAAGGGAGACAGGGAATGCAAACTGAATTTTGGTGGTTATGAAGTCTTGGAAAATGTTTCCTTGGAAATTGAGAAAGAGTTGAGGTGGATGTTAGGGAGGCAGGTTGTGAGGAGGGGAGATGGGTGAAGTGGGATCAGGATTGTGTCTGGTGGTGCTCTTTGGTATTATCAGTGTTAATCCTTCAAGTTTCTTGGCTGCAGTTTTGGTTGGTTGCTTTTGTATTTTGCACATTTATATAGTCTTCCTGTGCCAGGTAGTGTGTGTGCACATCTTTTCCACAATGTTTCTGGTGTTTTATGTTAAACCTGTTTGAGATAACATCAGACAGATTGTGGAAAGAAATTTTGAAAACAAAATTACAGTTTTGATGAGTTTGGCCTCTTGTTGGGTTATTTGCTGTCTCCATAAATGTATAGTGCCCTATATGTGCATTATAAGTAAATGTTATGCAAGTTCAAAGTAATATTCATCAGTGAAGAGCAGACAGCATTGGAAATATAAGAAATTCCCATCATAATTTTACTTACCATTCAGTAAGCTAATTTGTTTTTCTTTCACATAAAAAGGGTAATATTAATTCCAAAATGAGGAGAATTTTTGTTACTCTCATTGAGTGGATGGAGAGGCAGTGAGTGAAACAGGTGACTAGCCTGTGAACTACTTTTTATAGGGTGAGTAATATGACAAATGGAGATCCAGGCAGCATCCCAAGTTCTGATGATCAAACCTTTCCTCGGTTTTCGACCAAGAGGGCCTCTCTGATGATGCGCCAGATAGCAAACTGGTCTCTTCGCAGGAGACACTTGTAGAGTGCGACCCATCGTACAGTCATCTGACAAATGCATGGACTGTGTTCTGAGTTATTTTTCTTATTGCTTAAGACATTCCATAACACAAAATTAATAAAAATGCCTTGTCTTTCCATGCTTTCCTTCATCAGGAAATAAGCGGACTGAAGGTGAGTACTGCTGCGGTGATTTGTGTGCATGTGTTTGCACTGAAGTGTGTTGTGTTGTGTCGTGTCCGCATCTTTGTATGAGTTGTGATGTTTTGGTGGTATGCCAGCACTGTGGAAGAAAAATTGCCATGCAGGTTGGGAATTGAATCAACAAGCCTAGCTTACAAAGGACCATTCTGCAGTTGCACGTCCCAAGGTCTGAAATCATGTGTTCATCCATTCATTGCACAAAGTGCATAAAAGGAATGTGAGTTTTTTCCCTTTCTTTCTTTTTTCCCCTTCCTCCATGTTGTACAACTGACCATAGTGAAAATGTCATAGTATAGACGCTTTGCCGGTTGTGTCCTGGGTTGTGACATTGTTTATTACCACCATCTTCAGACTCTGATTACATCTTTCCAAAATATTGTTAAGAAAGCTACAAGATTACATGGCTGTACAGGCCAGAAGAACAGAGTCATGAGAACCTCAAATCTGAGTTTACTAGAAGTTGTCAGGATAGTTTAAGTTTTGTTTATATCCCTTTTAATATAATATGTGTTTTACATGCATGATTTTTCTTCAAAAATAATAGCTCACAAGGTAAAACTAATTGATAACTGTGCATTGTATTTATTATTTTTGCAACTGTACATTTCTGTCTGCAATAAATGACTGTAAAAGAACAATGAGGTATGCAAAATTGCAAAGAAAATATTTAAGAACACATTCTTACTTCCAAACTGGATTGGATTTCACCCTAATTTTTTATATAGAATTGTGCAGTGTTGTGATGGGGAATTTAATCTTTTTGCAGTTGGACACCCAGAAAACTTAACCAACTTTGCAGAGTTATGTTTAATTATTGTTTCTTTTTATTGACTGTCTTGTAGAGGCCTTGGCTTATCTTCCAAAGGACTATAGTGTTTTGTGGCATATTTTACTGTAAGACTCTTGGAGCCTTTGAAAAAACTAACAGAGAAGGTAGAAAAAATCTTTAATTTCCAAAAATCTGTTCATGTTAAATCTTACCTCAGTTTATGTCTGTCTCTGCTAGTGTCCACTGTTCACAGAGCTTAATCTTGTTTCTGCAGTTACTTTTAAAAGTGCAGATATGACATGATTTAATCTGTTTTCATATTTTATTGCTTGACATTTTCTTCTTAAGGTGTATTTAAGTTGTTTTGGTTCTCAGAAAAAACTGCAATTCCTGAACTCCATTAATTCACTAGTTTCATAAAAAGTGTTATTACTTATATTAGCTTTTGCCTAAACAATAAATCTAAAACCTGTGCTCCAACTGGTTCAAATGGCATTTATTCAATAACCCAGGTACCATACACTATCTTATAATAGCCTTAGCATGTTACTAAGAGACGTTTGAAATCTGTTTTTCATTTTTTTGTTCTTACTTTTCTTTTTTTCATAAACTTACTGAATTTCCAAACATAGCTAAATTAAATCTTCTACAATAGGAATGTGACAGACTGAATATTATATATCAGCTGTTCATAAACAACTTAATCACAATTGAGTGGTTAGCACTTTTGCTTTATATTTGGGAGATCGGGATTTCAGATCTCAGTCATGAAATTAGCTGTCCTGACTGAGGTTTTTCTCATCTTGTTTTTGGTCTTCCTTAATTCCTTCTGGAAAATTCTGGGATAGTACCTGAAATTAGGCCACGGCTGCTTCATCCTTTCCAGTTCAACATTCATTAATCATTCTGTCATTTGATGCTACATGAGATTATCACTTCTCACAGAAACAACTAGCTGGAGTTTATCACTGGTACTTTGATAATGGAACTCAATGGTAATACCAAATACCAATACCACAGCTGGACATGATCTTTAGTTAGTTCTACCCAGTTCACAACCCAATTTCCTGAGGTCTATTTTAACATATTCCACCTCATTTTAAGTATTCCAAGTCTCCCCTCAGCTGTTTCTTAATCTTCTAAATGATTTCCCCGTCAAAATTGCGTGAGAGTTTGTTACTCCCTGTCCAAGCTACTTGTCTACTTCTTCAGTTTGCCATGGGCTATTTTACCACAAGATCTATTGTAATATTATTCTGTCTCCGTCTCTTTCTCAATCTTCCAAACACCACTCCCACCAAACTTCTGTGCATGTTTCTTGTCTCTCCTGTCTGAGCCCTATGTCCAACTCACAACAAATGTCCTTTGTTGCCATGCCATATTTTACCCATAAATGTAATGTAGGGTCAGGGGAACAATAAATAATGCTCACAAGTGCACATATATCACTGGCACATGGCAGAGCAGGCAGACATATTTACCAACTTGGAACTCAGATTCTTGAACTGGATGCTATGATTGTTGCAGTTGATACATCCTTTATGGGGACAAGATAATCCGAATGGGAATTCATGATTTTCCATTTCCTCCACAAATTCATGATCATGGTTAAATAACATACATGTTACAGTGTTTATGTTGAAAATGATAATAAAAAAAGTAGCAAATTCTTGTTAGTACTCAGTTTAGGAACTTGTCAGTTTATCTGTTTTTATGACACAAAGTTTCAAATTTGTAGAACTATTATGTTTATGATCTATGTGTTTAAGGTAGAACAAAAATTTTAAGTTTTTTTAATAGTATTTGAGAAATATTTGTTACCACAAAGAGGTATAGTCTTTCTTAAATCTCTTCATACAACTTTGGAATGGTAATTAAGTTATAGTGAGCCAGTCATGTAGCATGCATGGACAGAATAAACTGCACATACAGAAAACAGATTCTCAGGAGATCAGTTTCTGTAAGAAATAGATAGCATTTACATGGCTGTGGAGAGGTAGACTGAATTTAGTTGGCCTAGAATGATTTTCAGTAATTTGCTTTTCTTGTAGGAATGATTAATCTTTGGGGACCAAATGGGTGAGTGGGTGAATGAATAGGATTAGTGAGTGTATATGTATGTGACAAATATAATTTGAGAATTTGATTAACATTTTGTGTGGGACTTCTTAAAAATGGGAGCTGTGGTAGTTAAGTCAGTAAGGCAAGAGGCTGTGGACTGGATCACCAGGGTTTGACTATTGGCATTAGGATTTTTCTGTTTACCACCATTGTGTCCAGAATGACTGGGTACCAGGGCTTAAGGTGGTTGAAACATGAAGCTGCACTCACCTCCATCTAGTGTTCTATGAAGCTTTTGAGTAGGGTAGCTCTTCCTTATTAGTGCGTTTTGAGAATATCTTGCTGAATAGTAGAGAGAATTAGTATAATTCCAGTTGTATGTGTTTTGCTTATGTGTGTTATGATTGGCTTCATTTTGTGTGTGTGTATTTTTTCTGCCTTTACTGAAAGTGATTGCAGTAATATGTGATATATGTGTCATGCCACTGACATCACTAGTGTCCTATTTATTGAATACCTCACAAAGAAAGACTTAATGCTAGTCACCATTGGAAGTTTTTTTAAATTCTCTATATATTGAACGTCAGCGTACCATGTTGGGAGATCTTTAAAAAGTCATTAACAAAACTACATGTTATTGTACATGATGTATCAGTGATTCTGTTCTGTCATTTCATCACAGTACCTTTCTTTTATACTGTAACTAATTTTGTTTTACTCTTTTCAAGGGAGAGTTTTAATACCCCTCAATTTATGGTCCTGTGGTAGATGTTTCTAACAAAGAGAATGTTATAAAACCACTGAATGAAGGAAACATCACTGCAGTTGGGTATCAGGAAATTCAGATGTTCCATCATTTACTCTTTGTCTAGACCAGTGGTTCCTATGACTGGGTTGAAGGATACTTGACACCCAAACTCCAGAAGACATTAGTGCAATACTGCATTTGCACAGTGAAGTTACTGCAGAGTATCCTCCCTTTTCTGAACTCATGACAATACATAAAAAATTTAGTGTATGCAGTGGTGACTTTCTGTTGTCATGCCAGGTTGTTGACCCAAAAATTTTCTGAACTGGTTTCTGAAGAACTTTGGTGACATTGCATTGCTCAAGTTAACAGTTTACAAAAATGAAGAAAAATAAAGTATTTGACTAAGAAAGGGCCAATCAACAAATTATATCACATCATGGTTCTTCTGATTTGATGAATGAACCTTCTCTCTTAAAAAATCATGGTTGAATATGGTGAGTATAATAAAATGTGCCAGTACAAAAGTGTGTTCTGCATGTCTGTTATGAGTCTTTATATTTCAGTACAAGGGTTATATTTTCATGATGGCAGATATGTGCATAATTCATACATCAACATTATCATTTTTGAAATAGTGAATGCTTGATGAAATTTTGTGACAGTACCTGCTTCTAGACTCAATGTTTTCTTCATCACTATATTTCTCAGTGAAATCTGGATGACATACCCATTTCTATCAACAGTAATCATTTAGTTCATGGGTTGCATGAACTTTGGTATTTTCTGGTGTTGGAAATATTTAGTTGTATGCAATTTATAGTTTCTCTCACAGACTTTATCATCATGTCTGCCAGTACATTTCACAACACTTAATGCCTATGTATCATAGGCAGTTATTAACCTCTATCAAACTAAGTGGAGATTAACATATTTCCTTTCAGTCTCATGGTGCCATAATGACTATGAAATGATTTTATTAACATTACATTGGCTCACAGCACTTTGGATTGAGGAGCAAGGTGTAGAGAAATTACATTTTTTAAACCTTAGAACCCTAAATTTCACCATGTTAAAGAAGAATGCTAACGCCGAGCAGCCATTTTGTCATACATTTCATAACACATCATACAATCATTATTAAGGCAACTATGATGTCTGTGGATTGAATTGGCCAAAGAGAAAGTGACTGTTAATATCTGAGCAGAGGCTGCACCTGTGAAAACACTTGTCTTTACCAGTGTTGGTTTTCGGGGCTGTAATGCCAAGTTGACTTGCAAGTAGATGCCAATGCTTCATCGAAACACTGTCTCCATCTTCAGGATTCATAATATCTACCTACAAGCCCACATGACGTTACAACCCAGAAGACTGATACTAATACCTTCACCACAATAAGAACCTCATATCTTACCTGTTTATCACATAATTTACCTTGCAAGATATTTCTCATTTTATGTTTTTATGACGTAATTGAAATTTCATAATGTGGAAAGCTATGGGGCTGTTCAGCTAATTGTCATAAGTTGTGGTCAGTTTCAAATTTAATGTGGGAAGTATGGGGAAATGTTACTACAGACAACCTTTTGATATGGTTGAAATTGAATAATTGGTACTTGCATAATAAAATGATTTCTTCCTCTGCAATTTCTGGTATAACCCTTTTATTTCCATTTGATTTAATCTGGGACCTACCTTAGTTGTAGCTTGTTTAAAGATGCTGTATGAACTGTGTGGACAATGTTGAATATTATGTGTGGATCACTAACTGGAGAGACATTGGTTTGTTTTTAAGGACAGCAAAATCAGGAATGACCTTGGTTAATTACCTGAATGCAAGTTGGAAGCCTTACTGGACCACCTCAATGTATTCAAAGTGTTCCCAGGGCTAGGTGACTTGTGATGTTGACAGGGCCTGAGCAAGCTCAGTTTTCCGGGTTGTGAGATGAATGTCTATTTATTTGGAAATGCTAGGATAATGATATTGAAATATGTGAAGAGACAGCATGCAGCACAGCAGTAGTAGGGATTCTTCTTATAATATGGAACTGAAATGCTGGTGATGAACAGTCTTAATAGTTTGGAACTGATAATGTAGTGTTTAGATGTGATATGGAATGTATGCACCTCTTCCAGGAGCAGTAATGTGGCACCACATCTTCATACACGCACTATGGTGCTTGAACGTGGGCCAGATGGACTGGGGTTCAGCATTGTGGGGGGGCACTGCAGCCCGCATGGTGACCTGCCAATCTATGTGAAAACTGTGTTTGAGAAAGGGGCAGCAGCCCATGGTGGACAGCTTCATCGAGGGGATCAGATCTTGGCAGTGAACAGCGTCAGTTTGGAAGGGCTTACTCACCAGCAAGCTGTGGCAGTGTTGAAACGCGCCCAGGGCAATGTGACACTCACCATCCAATCATAGCATGGACGCTGCCTCTAGTGCATCGAGTGAGTGGAGTCCGCTTCTAGTCAGAATGCCCACCCTACTCAGGAATCCAGTATGATAGGGACCACAGTTTTAATGGATGGGCCATAGTATAGGGGTTCAGTATTAAAAATCCCTCTCCCTAATGCTATTGAGAGTATTCCAGAAGACAATGTTGTAAAGAGCAAAACAAATTTAATAATTAGTTATTCTACAAATGTTACAAGTTGAAATTTTAAATAACTCATTAGTTGAGCAGTTAGTTAGTATTTACAAGAGTTTATACTTGGTGATATGTGTAGAAGCTGTCTGTCCGAGGAACAGCAAAACATCTTCTTGGTGTTATAGAGGCCTTGACTGCTTGAACCTGGACACTCACATTGATGTGACTGTGCCAGCAAGATCGCTTGTTATGACAGTGGTGCATTTTTATTGCCCCCAGTTCGTTATTTCTTGCATTCCAAAGCTGAGTCATCTTACAGTACACTTGCTCTCTTCTGTATGTTGAGAATGGAGCTGTCTCCACTTACACTGCCTGCGCCAGGTTACAAGAGGTCTGCTTGCAGTGATTGATAGTGACAAATAATTTAGTGACATTGGAATAATATTTTAAGACATTTATGATTGGTTGATCTTTTTATATGTTGTGGAAATGAAGATTCTGCTTCGTGTATTAGACTGTATCACTACATACAGTGCGTCTCACATGGATGTCATTCATATCATGTATGTATAAATTATTGTTAATGCAACTGTTTCATCTCCTGTTATTTCTTCAAAATGTAACTCAAATTCTTTCGTTATTTTGTTTTGAATTACTTCCCTCTTCTGAGACTCTAGTCCTCTCCCCTCCTGTTTGAAAGCAGCACAGTACAGACTAAGATGGCTGTAGTAAACTGCTCATCATATGCCAAGCATTTATGAACTCTTCAAACATTCTTGAGCAGTTGACAGACCAGCTGCCAGGTGATCCCTTGTTGTTAGGTTCATAGGAGCCCACTGCTGAGACCTATCCAGAACAGACTAATCCAGTTCACATCTTTACTTACCCCTTAAGGTTCTCCAACTAAAATTTTATATGCAAGTCTTGTTTCTTCCATGTGTGCTACATATCTTACCTGTCTTATTCTCCTTGATTTTCACAGCCAAACACTGTTAGGTGAAAGAAATTATGAACTGCCTTCATCACATCCTGTTCTTCCTCTTTCTGTGGTCCAAATATTGTCTTCAGCATCCTGTTTCAAAACACAAACTGTTTTTCCCTCGGAGTGGGAGACCATATTTCACATCCATACAAAACAGGTAAAATTACAATTTAATGTATGTATCAAATCATTGGGTTGTTAGAGGGGGGATTGGAAGATCAAGATTCTGAACTGGATTTAACCTACATCAGTTGTGTCATGGCTTATGCAGTCCAACTGATCATGTGTCATAGTAGCATAATGTTAAACCTCTGACATCCAACCGGAAGCCCCATAATACATAGATTTCAATCCTCTTATTTTGTGATAAAGGTTAATCTGCTCATGACTTCACACAAATATCATTTTCATATGGAAAGCTTAAGAGCACTTGTTAATATAACTGGCTATTATGATTATGCCCATTTTATGCAGTGTCCAAATTGTTCATATAGCTGCATGTGATAGTACTGTAGTCCAGACAAGACCAATATTTTGTTCTTCAGAGTCTCCAGAATCTTAAAATATGGTTTCTCAGGGCCTCTCTCTTTCTCCAATCCTCTGTACTATTGAAATGTGTAAATCTGTATGAATTGGTAACTGATGAAGCACTAGGTAGGCACATCCGTTTGGAATGTGTTGTAAAGAAGCAGCATAGTGATGAAGTGAACAGTTATTCTTTTGTTTGTGAAAACAAAGCCTGTATCAAGTATTACTTTATGTTGTTCTTATTTCAGTTTGAGTTTCTTTGCAGGCCATGGAGAAAACAATACAACATTTTTATTTTGGGCATTAGAGAAGCGTTGAAGGGGAAACAGTGAACAGAACAGTATCATAGGAAGTAAGTTTCCTAGACAAGAATTAAATTTGTTTGGTTATCTCCATCACTGTCATCATCATGATCATGGCCTGTTCCAAATCAGATAGGTTCCACCCTATTTTCTGGGTGGATAATATAGACTTTTGTAACAGCATATATAGTTTCTTCAGGTCAGGTAACATACTGAGTGTCATGTTATTTGACAATGATGGCCTGTTACATATATCAGTTTCACATATCTAAACATCCTTCTGTGGGTTCTTAGTTTTTTGGGATATCCCATCAGAATTCATTCTTTGAACACTTTAATTCCAATTTCAATTTACAGAAAGAAGTTACTGGCAAAATCACTGAGCCTGTCATGTTTCTTTAAAGGTCAAAAGGAATGTACATTAAAGTTTTAAACTTCTTACCATTTTAAGAAAATACATGATCCATCAGAAAAGTGACAAAATTTGTTGCTATACATAGCTGTATCTCTTATAAAGCAGCTGAATCAGGAATATAGATGTTAAACTCTTCAAAGGTTCCACAGTTTCATTTCTGGCCTGATCAAAATCTGTACACAGAAAATATATATCCAAATAAAGACTTTTCTGTGCACAGATTATGTCTTTAACTATGCCTTGTTCATTTCTGAAATATGCCCCATCTCTCCCCTCGACCCTAGAACCAATGTTCAGGTGTATGTTATCTCAGTATCATTCTATCAGTGAGAGTAGCAGAACCTGCTTCATGAGTGCCCCTGTCTGCCATACAAGTGAGTCAGACCACAAATGGAGGTATTTATCACAATATAACTTAACATATGAAGAATATTTTGTGCACAATTTGTATGAATGTTTATAATCAGTATACATAATTATATATATTCTTAAATCCAATGGTTCATTGATTTTCACTGTCAAACTGTACATTAAATTCAAGTGTTTACAGTGTGATCATGTATGTAGGGATTACAAAGTATGAGGTTTGGGTGGCCCCAAATGGAATAATGTTCACACCAAATTTTGTGAAAATTTATCAATTGTATATAAAGTTGAATAAGGACACAGACATACAACATTCTTACCTCTTAAGCTTATTTCTTAAGAAAAGGAAGCTGGTTAAAAAACATAATTATACATATTATTGCATATATAATGTGTATTTTCAAAGGATTCAACACATACAGACAAGCACATTTAACTTAATAAATGAGATGTATGTGTATTTTTTATTTTTTTAAGATTCACCATGCGCACTGCACTGCCACTCAGGCTGGCCACACTCACAGAGCTTGCCTGCAGACTTCACCTGGAACACTGTGACAGTATGTGCAGAGTCATCAAACTTGCAGCTTACGTGCAGGTTACATATAAGGAATGTATAGAACTGATTCCCCCACCGTTCACGCAGATATACTGAACGTGGGTCTTCTTGCAGTATGGTCTGGATTGAGGTTTCAGGATTCTCTCCATTTTCAGTCTCTCTCTCTATGTTTTCCAGCTGAGCCTTTGCTCGATCACTAAATGTGACCTTCAGCTTGTGGAGAGGTGGCTGTGTGATCCATGATGGGATGCGGACCTGTGTTCTCTCATTCTGAATTCCTACCAGAGGTACCAGTGATGGTCTAGCACCTTCTTCTCCATCTGGAGCCTCTCTCTCTCCAATCCGACTCTCAGGTCGTGCTGGCTGAGCCTTGGAAATTACTGGAGAGAGGTTTGCATCTCCAGGTGAGGTCATCATTGGTTCATCTTCTGCCTCCCTACCATCCAGATATCGCAAATTTGAAGTCTCACAGTGTAGAGGGTTGTCATACTGTGGAATGTATGGCTTAATATCTAGTACTGGGGTGCCATCAACCATGTCCACGCCACAGAAGTAAACTGAAGATCCTGCAACACATAGTCCAAGGTTTATTGAGAGATTATTTATGCACTACTGAGATCATGCAACTTGTTCACATGACATGTGACCCCAGCCCCTACCAGCCACCATATCTTGTACTTACCCTCCACTCTCTTGACAGTTACAAGGGACAAGCCAATGGGTGATGGTCTGTGAGGAGAGCGGGTTCCAAACACTCCAGTGCGGGCTCCATTCAGGCGTGGAGGTGACACCTTGGCACGCACATGACTAGAATCATTCCTGTGGAAGTGGTACAGAATCCTGTAACAAGTAAGTTATTTTAGGTATACTGCTTCCCATGTTGTTTTATATAATCTACATTAAATACACTTACTCACCACATGTGTGAGAAACCTTCCAATCCCTCTAGTGCATGTTCTGGATTTGTGAACACCGAGTTGAAAAGGGTCAATTTGCCTTGGCTGTTTACACAAATGCCTGGTTGGCGGGGAGTTCCCCTCTTCTCTGGGAACCATGTGGATACCACCCCAATTGGCCGAAGAGAAACCCCATCTTCAGGAATGTTGGTGGGTGTTGTAGAAGAGTTACACCTTTGGCACTGCCAGGAATCCAGTATGTTCTGTATCTGCTCCATGTCCTTCTGGTGATTGTGGCCAAGAGCCTTGATCTGTTGTCTGTGAACACAAGAAAACGTTATGTGTCAACCAGTATGAATGTGGCATAAGGAATCGAGATCTAATTCAGGGCATACTGGCTATAAGATTGTAAATTATTTGAAACATACATACTTAAATGTTCTTATAAATATGAGGTGCTACAGCATCACAAAGCTCATATACTGGGGGGACTAAAATGTGTTTTAAAGTGTTGAAACTTACTCTTCTTAGCTATCACAGAGTCGCTTTCCACCAGGATATGAAAGAACAGAATAAAAAATTGTGTTTCCCAGTGACCTGTCCTCACACAAACCATTGGCAAAAATCCAGAATACAGTTTGGGTCCACAAAAGCTGCGTTCATGTTATCTCACCAAACACAAACACGCCAAACGGTGACCCCCACCCCCCACACACACACATAAACAAATTAACATATAAAAACAACTGGCAACAGAACTCCTAACCTAATTAATATAATTTAAACAACAGTCATGCATACACCAACCAGTAATAAACATCATACTTCTTCACACCTTAAGTTGTGAATTTCATTTCTTGCAACAGTAAGTTGTTTTCGAAGCTGGGAAATATCACTGTCAACCTCGCTACATATTCCTGTCGCCATAATAAACTAGCTGCTCTTAGGACCTTTACAATCTAGTTAAAATTGTCTGCGGTGATGACCTGCATATAGATTAGTAACGTAGTACCATGCGTATTGTCGTGCCGTCTATGTATCATTATTGAGAAATAATTCCAGCGGGCGTTGTGTAAGCAGTCGGTAATAAGGGTAACTTCTTTTCAACCTGTAAAATTAAACTCCCTTCAAAGATTGCTCATATAAAACACGCAATTTTGAAACCCCAAATCGCAGAGGAACTCACCTAATATTTGGGGTGTATTTCTGCCTCTCGTGTTCTTGTCTACAAAACAATATTGTCGTTCCCATAACGAGGGGGGGGGGGGGGGGCATCCCAAAAAAAAAAAATTCACCCTGTGTTGTTCGAAACGTTGGAATACCATCATTTGACGCGATTTATTCCCGAAAGCCGATTTCAACAACTAACCGAGTTTGGTAACGAGACATACACAGCCTGTGTATGCTTAATCTTTCTGCTATTCTGACCCCACCCCCTTCTTCTTGTCTAATCACTTTCACCTCTACCTTCCTTCCTCTTTCAGAAAAAAGTTCTCTTTCACTCTAGTTGCGTCATTGGCGCAGGTAAGGTGAGCGGTGTCTTGTATTATAATGTTCGCATTTTCACTGCATTGTCTTGCTGCTAAATGCTGTTTTTCGGAAAAATATCAAGTACATTGTTTTGAAATTTAAGATATATTTTAATATTTATAATCCTTCTTTATTGTTGCTTTAATACTTGTGTTAAATTTTTGTTAATTTTTTCGAATATTTATACGTTATAATGATAATAATATTAGAGGCACATGTAGAAACATTCTGACCTAGAACTAGCTTCGTAAATGATGGGAATGCAATCTGTACGTCGATTTTGACAATATTTTAAAGAAATAGGAAAATTTCTTTGTCATTAAATGTACATGGTATTAATGGCATTAGACTGAGATACAGGTACAGCTAAGCAGATATCTGTAGTACCTGAATGTAGTTATTTTGAGATACAGATTGTCAGTAAGAGGTTAATCAAAATACAGAACCTGCTTTCATGATTAATAATAGGAAGTCATTGTTTTCACATTAAGGATGACTGAAGTATGAAACCTATTGAATTTCTGGTACATATTTGTGGCCTTTTCATACCTGTACAGATACATATGCTCCATAGAATTAATTAGAATTGATTTTAGGGACCAGATGAAAATGGAGAAACTTACAAGGATAACTTAGGTTCAAATTGTTAAGTAATATGGTGAAACATTTGCTCAGTGCAGGGTGTAGAGCTGTTGACTGTCTTATCAGAACTGTCCAAACAGGACTGCCCACTTAACCAGGAATGAGCTTTGGTGAACTGAAGTTGAAAGGCCTAAGACCCAAAACATGAAGGCTACTTTTTTTTGGGTTATCAATCCTAGGATTGGTTTGCAACCCCATTTTGGGGTTGTTTCTTGTGAAGATACCACGGTGGTTTCGCTTGCCTTCCATGGCCAGTCTTTATCCATCAGACTGGAAGAGAAAGGACGCGGACAAACATCCACACCTTGAGTGGGACTCCAACCCACGGTCCCAGCGGCCAGGTGCTTGAGGTTCATGCCTCAGACCGTGTGGCAACTGCGACAAGCGAAGGCTACTTAACAGGGTCAAAATAATAGGTATATGGTACTCTGATGAAGAGAGAATTTAGAAAAGCCAAAGGATTGCATTACCAGTCTCTTGGGATTTTTCTGAATAGTGTTGATATCATTTGTATATAAGTATTTCTTTAACCCTCAGGTAACTATCATATGAGATAATTATGCAGAGAAGGTGATGGAGAGCTGGGAACCAGAAGTTTACAGAAAATGGGGAAGCTGCTAATGTTCTGCCTGAAAGGAACCTCTATGGAAAAAAGTTGTTCAGATTAATGGCCAGTTGCAGTTGAATGTTTGGGGTAAGTATTCATAGATAAGCAAAGTAATTGTCACAGAGGAAGAAACTAATTTCTTCTACACTGTCTTGTACAAAGAATTTATTAATTTGTATGATTATTTTGCAGCACTCTAGCTAGACAAATGTGACACTCAAAAAATATATTTGCATAGACTAGAATATAATTTATTTACATTCTGTAGATCCTTCATAGGCTAAAGCCAAGGGTGTACAACATGTGATAGCACAAATACAATACTTGTTTCCAGTACAAATACATAGTTATAACAGCTATTTACAGATTTTTGAAACTACAATATTACAGCAAAATAATTATGATGTGAAACCATCACCATCGTTACTTACATGTATTTATAAATTTTACTACTGAGTAGAAGTAAGCTAGGAACTGGCTTAAACATTTTTATATCATGGTTTAAACTTTTGATAGTAGGTGGAAGATTACTGAATAACTTAATTCCAGTATAGTAAACTCCTGTTTGATATTTACTGAGGTTAGAATTTGGCACATGAAAGTTGTATTTGTATCTTGTTCTTATATTGTGGATATCTGTATTTGTTTGAAATTTTTCCATGTTATTCACTACAAATGATAATAGTGAGAGCAAGAATTCACTGGGCAATGGAAGAATATTAAATTTCTTAAATAATTCCCAACAAGAGGCTCTCCTTTCAGTGCCTGCCATTATTCTAATGACCCTCTTTTGAATGTAAAATATTTTTTTGCTCTGTTGAATTTCCCCAGAAAATGATAGAAGTTAACCAACGTTTCGGTGGTCCTTGCTGCCTCTATCCTTAGGGCAATGACTGAGGACTGTAATTAACGTTATTACCGACTGAGCATATGGAAGTGTTTCAAACCGTGATTTAATACCAATTGTTCTTACCAATGGATAGATGGCAGAACAATATACGTGACTTCGCTCTTTGATTGGTTGGGAAAATGAAACGGCGTCCACTCACAAAGGTCTATTGGTATAATCGAAACATTCTAGAAATAGCCGTACGGTGAAGTGCATTTGGTAGCACTGCGCAAACGTTCAGTATTTAACGCTGCAGTTCGTCCAAGTTTTTTTGGTAATCGCTTTCAAAATGGCAGGTACTTGGTATGTGAAGAGTTGTACGTTATTAATGTCGTTACTTGGTGTCTTTCCTAGAGGAAATGTCCAGTTTGTACGTATAAACTCGGAATGACCAGCTCTTCATTAACATATGTTTTAGGTAAGTAGTTTTTATGTACGAAATTGCTGTATATTACGACTGCATTGAAATGCCACGTTTTGGAATGTTTGATTTGTCATTGAAAATTTTGTTGAATTATTAGAATTATGGTGATGTTGTTTGAAAGGACGCGAGTGTTACTTTGGGCAAGTAACAGCACAGATCGTCGCAAGAGTAGAGTAGAGTAGAGTAGAGTAGAGTTGAGTTTAATTACATTCCATAGATCCTTCTTAGGACTCAACCAAAGGATGTAGAACATGTCATTTGATACAATATACATACACTTCAGAACTTTCAACACAAGTACAAGAACGTATTTCACATATCAATGTACATAAATTTCAGATTCTGCAATACAAGTATGAAAAATAATTTTACAAATTAATATACATAAACCTCAGAATTTTAAATATAAATACAAAACTTGCTTTACATACACGTAGATTATGGATATAAAGCTTAAACATTTTCAGCAGAGATAAAATCATCTACAGAATAGAAGGAGTGAGTAAAGAGGTAATCTTTCAATGCAGGCTTGAATACCTTTATATCATAATTTAGACTTGTTGTTGGTTAAAGATTATCAAATAACTTGATACCTGTATAGTACACACCTTTCTGATATTTAGTAAAGTTAGCATTTGGCACATAGAGATCATGTTTACGTCTTGTATTTAAATTATGTACATCTGTATTTCTTTTAAATTTATCCATGTTTTCCACCACAAATGATAGCAAGCAGAGTATAAACTCACTTGCAAGTGGAAGTATATTAAATTTACGAAATAATTTTCTACAAGATACCCTGCTTTTGACA